CGTCTTCAGCGCCGCGTCCACGTCTCGGTCCGCTCCGCGGCCACGCGTTTCCCCGCCAGGGCGATGCCCAGTGCGGACGGGGCGTGGTCTGGAGCGCTGCCCTTTTCCCTTTGCCGCCTGCTCCTCTGCTCCCAGGGGTTTGATTGGGCATCCCCCGCCTCTTCCAGGAGCTTGTGGTTTCACTACCACTTTAAGCCTCCTGAGCCTTAGGGGTTTAAGAGTTGATGGAGCAGGTGCTTTTTTCGGTCATCTCTTGCTTCTATGGCCAGTGCGGAGGGTAGGCTCTGTGGTCCTCTAGCACTTGGTGTGGTGCCGCGAGCACAGGGAGCACATCTGCGGGTGTAGGTCCTGTGAGGAGTCTCAGCACACTGTGAAGTGGAGGGCGGAAAGTTTTAGCGTAACAATGTCTCAACCGTAGGGGAACGCAGTGCTCCGAGCCACCTTGAAGGTCGCTTAGTAGTAATTGAGGAGCTAGGAATGTTTCCTCCCTTGAGCCTTCTGGGACAGCTTTGATGTGCAAACAAATAAACTGCTAAAGTCCCAGATTTGTACCAGTTTGACTAAAGGTGTGAATTTAAACCAAAAGCAAGAGCAAATACTTGTGTGAACATTCATTTCAGTTTGTACATGGTTTATTTTAGTTTATCTTAAGTCAATTGGGAATAGAGGTAGGATGCATGAAAAGAAACCACCTGAAACCAAAGAATTTTTTAAAAAGGTTTAAGTGTTGTTCTTCTTAATGCCAACCTCCTGTCGTGGCTTGGAGCACTTTGGAGTTGGCACCTCCGTGTCATGTGGTTAAACATCTTCAGGCATTTTCTTCATTTTTTGTCTCCAGTTAAAAAGACAGAAGAAGCTTTGCTTACAGGCTTGGGGCCCACGGCTCTATGAGGCAGCTTAGGAAGCCAAGCCAAATAGAACCGGGTTGCAGTGAGTTAAAAACAAGCTTTAGGGCTGCGAAATAAGAGCTTCCCTACAAGGAGCAGTGAAGAGGCTGCAGAAGAGCAGGAGAAGAGCTGGCTTCAGGGCTGGAACATCAAGGCCACGAGAAAGGAGAGGCGGCATTAACACCTGTGGAATGCAGAGTTTAGAAGGGATCAGGTAGATGACAATAAGCTAGGAAGTCAAATGACTCCTTCACCACTGCCCATGGTAGGTTAAAAAAACCAAACCAAACAATTAAAAAAAAAATGTAATTTAAATCAGATTTTCTTTTGATTTAACGGTACTTTTTTTTTTTTTTTATTGTTAAGATGCTTTTAAAAAAAACCTGTATAAAGATCGTTTTAATTTAAGATATGTTAAAGATCAAAGATGTCAGCATGGCATAGGGATTATAACTTCTAATGATATACTACTTGAGGCAATAAATTCATACGACCTATTTATAAAACTCCTAAAAAGGTTACAACAGGCCGTTAGCAGCCCAATCTTATGGGGCTCCCAGAGGCTCCTCTATAGATTAGTAAAGATTAAAGAAAACCACTCTACCCAATGGGACTCAGTGCTCAGTACAGAAGATCCCATTAAACATCTCTGTGATGCTTAGTTTCAGTTCTCAGACTGGATTTGTGTCTCCAGAAATAACATCCTTGTTAACAGCAGTATATGGAGATGAGGGAGAACAGACCTGATACCTACTCACCAGCCCGGTTGTCTCTCTGCAAGTTCGTGTACACAGAGTCAGGACCTGACCTCTCTAAAAGTGCAAAGTTTCAAGAAGTTACATGAATAGAGGATTCTTGGGGGCAGAGTAGATCTGGGCAAGGAAGAGGAGTCCGGAGATAAATGCAAGGAAGGAAGGGCAGTAGAAACAAAAGAGAAACATTTTGAACAGAATATTCCCGAAATCTTGAGGGATAAGTTTCTGAGTACAGCCTCCCCATTGATTTGAGATCTAGTGAGGGAATGTATGGTAGGAGGGAAAACCTATCAAGGCAGCAGGCTTGCCAGGCCATAAAAGAGAGAAGAAATCAAAGATAAGAAGAAATCTAGACAAAAGCTCCAAGCTAATAACATATGGCAGCAGCGCTCATTTGATGTCCTCCTAACACAATGTGGCAAAAATATCCCCCAAATGTCCATGATTAATCTAGTGAGATGGTTCACCTTCCAGTGACTTCACAAGTATCTACTTCAGTTAGCCTTGGTAAATAAAATAACCAAATCATAATTCAGTTTTCTGATGTAGCTGCAAAATTAATCTGAAGAAAATCAAAATCACTTCTTTAAAATGCATAGTTGTGTACCTTCTAAAAATGAAACCTACAGCTATCTCTGAGTTATGAATAATATGTATTAAGGTTATAGCAAACAACAACAATGCACTTATTGTAGAAACAGTGATTAAATCAAGGCTTCCTGACCAGTGGTTTAAATTGTGATTTAAATCCACCCTGGCACTGCTTGACTAGAAATGCTCCTGCAACTGCCAGGAAGTTGATCTTAAACTTTGGGTAGAGCAGGAATTAAAGGGGGGGAAAGGGGTGCAAGGGCATCAGTGCACACCCCTGTACCTGCCCCTTTCTGAACCTCTTCTGCTACCCCATCCTTCACCTCATCTGGACTAAGTACAGACAGTCAAAAAGCCTGAGGCTGAATTGATTTAATCTTTGCAAGTTAGTTTAAACTGCAAAGATTAACCTGAGAAACAACTGGACACACATTTACCTTTGATTCATGAAATACAGCTGGCCAGAAGCGAGGGGTACTAAAGCATGGCTCTCTGGCATTTCCTCTTCTGCTGTCCCTGAGATCTCAGGGATTTTGCTGCCTGGCATCACAGAAGCCGGACTCTGCAGGGTTCTCATCACTTCTTGCTTCCAGGTGCCTCTGGGATTTGTAGTCCACAGTTGCAGCCAACAATAACTTTCAGAACATTTAGCAGGGAAAGGCAGCTCCTGTACTTGGGGGAGGGGGGGTTTAACAGGGGGAAGTGGGATTTAACCGCCCCTCCCTGGCCCCAGATCCCTGCCCCTCTCCCTCTCCCCCTTCTGTGCTGGAGCAGACAACCCAGCCCAGAGCTGGAAAGCATGCTGGGATTCTGGGAGAATCTGATTTAACTTGAACCAGGAAGGGGTGTGGGACAGAAGTTTCATAAACTGGTTTGACCCAAATCATTTAAGTCTGATACTACATTCAATCAGGTTTATCTTAAACCAGTTTCAGCCATTTTCAAACTGGTTTATGTCTACTGGGCTTCTGTTCTAAGTTTAAACCAGATTCTGATGACTTCACCTGGTTTATGTGTAACTTCTGTCTATAGCCCTGGAGGTTTTCCCCTCTCATGAACAGCACCAGTGCCTTTCTGTGTTGCTGCTCCCCATTTCCCCAAATACAGCAGTAGAATAACATAATGAGATTTTTGTCGGATTTTTTCTACTTGACAAGATATTGAAGAGCAGCTATGAAGCTGACAAGAATTGTATTGATTTAATTCTCTTGCTTTTGTCCACAACTGCTGAAATGTTGGGAACGTCCACAAAGCTAGGAGAATAATGTACTTAGCCCAAAGGCTCTTGGAGAGTGCCTGTTACTGTGGTTGAGAATTACTGGTCTAGTTGTTTGTCTCAACAATGAGGCACTTTTCCTGGATAGATAAAAATAAATTTTAAAAAATTAAATTAGATTTTTTTTAGGTTCAAACAGGCTTTTATTTAAGTCATACTTTTTAAAATACATGTTCATAAATAAAGCTTTTACAATGATTAAACTAACATATTGTCATAATTTGAACTTTATGTAATATATTAATATTATTTAGATTAAATGTGGCATTTGTTTAAAGAATACACTGGTATGTGTTTCCTGCTAGAGTTTGAAGGGAAGTCTAAGCACAGAACTGGTAGAACTTGCTGGTTAAGCACTTGGAATCAGAGTTTTTTGAAAAGCAAAGCCAGCTTTTGGGAGGGTTGGATTCTTCTGTAGGTGCAGAGAGAATTTTTTCTGTTCAACTTATTTAAATAGTTCCGTTCAATGAGTTAGTACACTCAAATACAAAAAATGACATGAGTGTTGGAAGAAAGAGGAAGCTAGTTTTAGTTTAGTATTTTGAATAAAATTATATGAGTGAAACAATGAGATCTACTGGGTCTCAAATCTTCCAGGACATGGGTTAGATCAGGATCCGGCAAAGTCTGGCCAGCAAGCCAGATTGGGCCTGTGGTGGACTCCATTTCCCAGTAGCCCCTGCCCGTATTGCTGCAGTTGGTTTTCATGGAGACCCCAGGAGCAGTGGGGCCATGGCAGCAGGGGGCCAGGGTTTCTGTGGAGATGGGCCCAAATAGTGCTGGCAGCGCATGCAGCTGGGCAGGGAGCTGTTCCAGGGCTGGGGCTGAAGCCAGGCCACAGCTGCAACCTGCTGCCCACAAATCCCAGGCATTAAAATATGCATATTATTAAAATAGCGATTTAACATTTGATACCATTGAGAGGTTTAAAGTTTTATACATTTCAACTGCTGCTTTCAAACCTGTTACACAGCAATGGCTGCTAAAA